CACTGGGCTCTAACATTTGTCTAAATTAAATACATGTATCTATAATGACAAGAAGAATGCAGAGAAAAGCAATAACTCAGATTCATGATAGATGCACACAACGTATCCTCATACAATGTTCGTATTGTATCTCAAAAATTGGCGCCCAGTGATTTAGTGCCAATACCAAGTACGTAGGGTCGGTTTAGGACAAGAATCATAGTTTGATGCCATCAAATGACTTACTTAATATAATGTTACAAAGGTTAGCCCTGAGCCCATCCCATGGCAGCAGTTTTGGGCCCTACTGCTGTGAAAACACACATATCATATATTATATCTCCTTCTTCTCTTCCTTATTTCAATAGTCCAGAGTCAAGTTTTCTACCAGCTGCTGATTATTCCCCAAGAAACACGAGACAACAGCAGCGGCTGTTACCATACAGGTAAACGGAGGGTTCACTATTACTAGCAACTCGTATTAGGAAATGATTTCTCCATGAAATGTGATAGTCCTTCCACGTGTTGCTTTCAGGGGAGCTACAGAGAAGGACTCTGGGTTGTTCGTCTCAAGGAAGTTCTAGCAAAACCATTACACGATTCAGGGGGGAAGCAGGTCTTGACCCTGGCTGTGTTCAGCAAGGGAAGAGACCTGGGAATATTGTCAGGGGGTGGAAAGAGCCCTTTGAAGAACTCCTGAACCTGACCAACACACCCTCTGGGGATGAGGCAGAGTTTGAAGACTTGGGGGAAGCCTCGCCCATATCCCTGGCACAGTTATCTGAAGCAGCTCCTCAGCACCAAGGTACCAAGTGTGGATGAGATTTGCCCTGTGATGCTGAAGGCTCTGGAAAATTGTTGGGCTGTGTGGGGTGGTGTTTCCTTTTTTTTTTTTTAAAGGGGGAAGGGTGCGCTCCTCTTATAGAGGCATTGAACTGCTCAGCCTCCCTGGCATAAGCTTTCCCAGTAAAGGAGGTGCTGGCCAGTTGCTGAACTTCAGATCCAGATACAGAAGTGGAAATGCGGAGTCAGTCCTGATCGTGGAAGCATGGTATCATGGCAGTTTGCCCATCCAGTCTACATGTTGGGGTTGTGTGTTTTTCCCCTTGTCAGCAGTTCTCTCCGTGAACAAACAAACGTGTTTCCACCCAGTTTTGAGCTGGGGACCTTTCGCATGTGAGGTGAACGTGATGACCACCACACTACGGAAACTGATGGAAATGCACCTTCAGTCACTGAGGTACAGAAGTCTACAAGTTAAGGCTGAAGAGCATAACCTTCACATTCATTGTGATATTACTTTGAGTAGTAGAAACTGAACTGAAAGTGAAACTAATCTGTGCTTTGTTTAAAGCCAGACAAGCCAATACGAAGGTTGTTAGTGAAAATGCAGAAAAATGAGTTTGACTGGATAAATAAAACTTGGATTATACTGCACCAGTCGTGTGAGAGTTTGTAAATGGATGTTTTGATATAGTTTTGCTATTCTTAAAGTGGTCCCAAGTAAATTTATGAATCAGTATGTTAACGTGGAGGCATGTGAAAAATATTCAAGGAAGCATGGCATATCCAACAAATGGTTATTATGTGAGTGTCGTATACCTTAAATACAATATAGATCAGTCACTATATACAGTATAGACAGTAGGATAAATATGTAGGGGTATGTGAGAGCTGATGTGGTACAGGTGAGTGTACGCACAGTAGTGTGGCAGTAGGAAGTAAGAATGAGCTTGCAGCCATTGAGTGGTATTTCTCAATTAAAATGAAATTGATATTGTTCAGTTCACCTGATTTACATGTGTTTGGAGTGGGAGGAAACCGGAGTACCCGGAGAAAACCCTCGCAGTCACAGGGAGAACATGCTTACCTCACAGACAGGAAGAGGGCCAGGAGCTCCTGCTGTGAGGCCCCAGTGCTAACCACTGGGCCACCGTGCTGCCCTCAGAAGATCTGTGATAGTTTTTCTACAGCACAACTCCTGAGAATCATGCTGAACAAAATAGGGATGCACAATAATACTGGCACATCTTGCAACCACTGGGCCACCGTGCTGCCCTCAGAAGATCTGTGATAGTTTTTCTACAGCACAACTCCTGAGAATCATGCTGAACAAAATAGGGATGCACAATAATACTGGCACATCTTGCAACCACTGGGCCACCGTGCTGCCCTCAGAAGATCTGTGATAGTTTTTCTACAGCACAACTCCTGAGAATCATGCTGAACAAAATAGGGATGCACAATAATACTGGCACATCAAACACACAGAAGGGCTCCCCGACCCCGGGGTTTTGAGTTCCAACCCCAGGATCAAACCGGGAACCCTCTTGCTGTGAGGTGACGAAAATAACCACTGCACCACCGCTATTTTCCACAGTGAATGAATATTACATACTCTGAAAAGCATTGTCTTTTATGTCTCCATCTGCTGGTGGGCCATTAGGATAAAAGCATGCATGTATAATATGATATTAATTTCACTAAGGAAATGAATATCATATTAATTTGATCACTGAAATTAGGCGGGGATCAAAGTGAATGTATCAATATCAGCCAAATGTGTTGTTATATATCACTATATCGGCAAAAAATCCGATATCGTGCATCCCTAATAAAAAACTTTGACAGAGCTTCACTTACCTTCACCTTCTATATCCTTGTTGATCGTGCAGCAGCAGCAGAATGTCTTCCTCATCCACGAGAAGAAATGCCGCACACAGTTCTTCTTCTTCTTCTTTTGGGTCGAGGTGTCATCTGAAAATCAAAGGACATTACACATTTCAAGCGACTTTCAAATAAACAAATCAGAAACTAGAGGAAGTGGTGGTGGCGTTCTCACATTCCCGCTGTTGTCAAGACATCAGTTGAGACCAGAGGAAGTCACCTCACCTGACTGACCTCTCCTCATCTTCCATCTGCAGCATGTTTTGGGCTGCAGCAGGCTGGACCAGGATCACACCTGATGGAAGGACGGTGGGAGATGATGCTGGACGGTGGTGGTCTGGATGGATGCTGGTCCAGGCACTTCTTGACTTTTCCATGTGAGTCTTCAAACTAAACAAAAACACACACAGTTAGTGCATTATTCTGATTGTTGTCATAACATCATTCGAGACCAGAGGAAGTCACCTCACCTGACTGCACTCTCCTCGTCTTCCATCTGCAGTGTGTTCTCTGGTGCGGCAGGCTGTACCAGGATCACACCTGATGTTGAGGGAAATGATGATGGACTGTGGTGGAGAAGAAAATGAGGAGGGGAGCTGAACAAATTGAGGGGAGGAGAGCAAAGGAAAGGCAAATAAATCACTGATTGAATTGTAAAAACTAAAAACATGACCAACAAGGTTGGCATCAGCACAACACACACTTACTGGGAGCTGTGGTGGCCATTAGCGATGAATGGATGAGTGAGGACCTCAATGGAAGAGATCCTTTCAGTTTCATCCGTTGGGTTGCGGAACTAATTGGTCTTATGTGCTGATGGCGGGTGCAGTATTGCATGTCACATTCTGGTTTAGGAAAATCAGACCTTAGCAACAGGAACGCTTCTTTTCTCTTCTTGTCTAGATGCTAATGCTAATAACCTCCTAAAACCACAGGGTTTCACCTGGATACGTGTAGTTTTGCAGGATGTAGGCGTGCATGGCTTGGGGAGCTCTGTGACCGTCTCAGCCGTCTCACCCTGTGCACTGACTGCACGTTCATACTTCGCATTATAACCTGTGTACACATTTGTAAGACTGCAAAACAAAAATCCTGAATTATGATGAAAGTGAGAAGTTGGACTGAGTGTTAAAGTATGGGCTAGATTTATTTCTAAAGCTTTGAAAATTAGACAGACTAGACTGAATACTACAAAATTATGAAGGCATACAGAATATACTATTGATGTTTTCCTATAGTTTGTATATTTCGTCTCACACAGATATATATATATATATATATAAACTCATAATCTACCTTGTAAGGCTGTTTGTGCATGATGCCAGATACTACACTGATATCAGAACACAGAGACCCCTCCATATGAGTAGATTTTTGTTGATGGACATAATTCAGTCCATCTAAATGTCAATATTTTTTTTTAGCTCTTTTTAGTTGCGTATGTTCTTTAGTGTAACCTATGATGGTCAATTTGAGAATTTATCAGCAGTCAGGTAAAAGTAAGGGAAGTCTGTTGTTGGCTGCGGCTGCAGCTGTGACAGCAGCACAACGAGCAGAAATCAAAGTATATCTTTTTAAATTAATGATCACAAAACAAATAGAATTAATCACCCTTGTTTGACGTTACATTGAAGTCTGCTGTAGGTTTAATCTTGGGGTTAAGGCCAATATTAGGTCAATAAACATTTTTTAGGTGACAGTTTTGCAAGCCTATCCATGAAAGCTCATGAAAGCATACAAGAGTCAAGTGGTTACTATTTTGGCCGGGTGAGTAAATGTGCTTGTGTCAAACTGTCTTTTATATTTCAGTTCTGAACATGGATGCATCACTGCCAGGCTAATGTTAGTTGCTAATATTAGCTACCTTTAGCTCCTATTTTCTATCTACTAGGTCAACCGTTTCCAGACTGGACAGTGCACCCATGTATGACGTCATATGCAAAGAAGTTATCGTTGTGTGCGCTCTAAGTTGCTAGCTAAACTAGCTTTTAAAGACGTCCAGCTGGTCCTTCAGGAGGAGAACATACAGCAGAATTTGATCTATTAAAAATACAGTGGAGAGCACACAGAGTCTCTGTGAATGACTTACTAATTCATACTCCGTTTCTCCTGGGAACAGTAAGTCACCGTGGACCAAGGCAGCCATCACAATACCCAATGACCACATATCAATGGCCTCAGAGAATGGAAGGCCCAAAATAATTTTTGGAGCTCTGAATGTGGAAGAAAAGCATCACAGTGTCATATTTCAAGGATTTACAGCACATGGAGGGAACATCTTTTAAACTAAATCAACAGTAAGTATGGGCATGAAGCTACTTTCTTTTGGTGAAAGTGATAAACTACAAACTCACTCCAGTATGACAGTAATCATCAGTGAGCTTATAGACCTTACCTGAAGAAAGTAATTTGTAGACTTTGGCCAGGCATGGCTTTAGACGTTGGTATTGCCAAGCCAAAGTCTTTGAGCTTGACTCTGAAGGGTCATGTCTGGTGATCCACCAGCATGATGTTGTCCAGTTTGATATCTGTGTGGATCACTCCGATGCCTTTCAGTGCCTTGAGCGCTTTGGCCAGCTGCAATCACAAGGTCAGAGATACAGTTCGGAGAACGCACCACAGTTTAAAGTGTTCAGGGCGGTGCTGTTGATTGGACAGGGCTGTGTTCGTACCTGTGGGATGATGGTGCTGACGTCACTCAAACGCATCGGGGCACCGTTGGTCTTCCACATGTAGTCGTACAAGCTGATGTCTAACATCTCAAAAACTAGTGCCCTTCCATGGCTCGTGTTGAGGCAGCAAAAGAACTTGACGATATTTTGCTGATCCAAGTTGAGGCGCTTCAACCTTTTTAACATGGAAATCTGGAGACAGGACGAATGTTATGGTGACAGTTAATGTGTTTACATGTTTAAAAGTCAGAGGAAATTGTGTTGGAGATTTATGGGACAATATTTAAACTAAACTTAATAATCCTTTGCTCTTTACTACACAGAACTGGCTAAATACAAAATGTGCCATATATATACGTATATACATGTACCACCATATATACAATCTCTGTTTCACAGCTGTGAACGTCAAAATCAACAAAGTGTCTTACCTCCCCAGGGAGACATTCTGAATATTTGGGGATCTTCACAGCTACGGTTTGTTTGGTGTCCTTTTTCCAACATTTCAACACCGTCCAGTAGCCGCCCTCCCCCAGAACCTTTAGGGATGTGTAGTTGCTGGGGAGCTTGAAGGCGTCATAGCTGGGGAGTGGTGATGTGTCAGATTTACTGTCTGCCATTTTGTTTTCTCACCATCAGCCTCTGAGACACTGAGGCCTGCAGACAGTATAAAGTGATCATACCTGTGCCACCTCTGACAGCCATCTCAAAGCATTTGTTGTTTTCGTTTTTAACTAAGCACGTTAGCAGTTAGCTTTCCTTGCCTTATGTGTGGACATATGGAGTGTGTAGAGTAGACACACAGTGAAGTGGCTGTATGTGGGTAAAGACAGAGACATGAAGACATCAGCCCCTGACCACTGGGGTCACTGTGGCTTCTTGAGACTTCTCTTTTTGATTCAAAGCATCTTGAGTCAGTCTCGTGTCAACTGACTGATATTTTCATGTGAGAAGCTCAGCAGTTATAACAGGTTTATGTTCCAGGGAACCAGAGACCACCTGATGACAACACTGTGAGCTGGAAATATAAACTGAAGTGAAGTGACGTGTGAAATGAAATATGTCTATGAATGATCAGGGACTATCAGTCAGTGTAAATGATGTTAAGATGCTGGTGGACACTGTTCATGTTACTGTGATGCAGGACTGTGAATGTCTCACTGTTTTAAACTCAGTAAGAAGCCAAACAGTGAAGCGTTCAGGTCCAGCAGCCAGTCAGGTCAAACTCAGATCAGACAGTAACTGATGGTGTGTTCAGGTGCTGTCAGAGTATTTATTTCATGTAGTAACACTAGCACTCTCGTGTGTCTAAATACAGACATAAATGAACCCAAAGTGACCTGAGAATGCTACCTTCAGGCATTTGGATGCACATGACCACCTACTGTGACTTAATATGAATGTAAATACATTTCACACATCTTAAACGTCCAACTAGTCGTCTCTGCATTGTGTTTCTCTGTCCCTGCAGCCACATTAACACTTCCTCNTAAAAACATGACCAACAAGGTTGGCATCAGCACAACACACACTTACTGGGAGCTGTGGTGGCCATTAGCGATGAATGGATGAGTGAGGACCTCAATGGAAGAGATCCTTTCAGTTTCATCCGTTGGGTTGCGGAACTAATTGGTCTTATGTGCTGATGGCGGGTGCAGTATTGCATGTCACATTCTGGTTTAGGAAAATCAGACCTTAGCAACAGGAACGCTTCTTTTCTCTTCTTGTCTAGATGCTAATGCTAATAACCTCCTAAAACCACAGGGTTTCACCTGGATACGTGTAGTTTTGCAGGATGTAGGCGTGCATGGCTTGGGGAGCTCTGTGACCGTCTCAGCCGTCTCACCCTGTGCACTGACTGCACGTTCATACTTCGCATTATAACCTGTGTACACATTTGTAAGACTGCAAAACAAAAATCCTGAATTATGATGAAAGTGAGAAGTTGGACTGAGTGTTAAAGTATGGGCTAGATTTATTTCTAAAGCTTTGAAAATTAGACAGACTAGACTGAATACTACAAAATTATGAAGGCATACAGAATATACTATTGATGTTTTCCTATAGTTTGTATATTTCGTCTCACACAGATATATATATATATATATATAAACTCATAATCTACCTTGTAAGGCTGTTTGTGCATGATGCCAGATACTACACTGATATCAGAACACAGAGACCCCTCCATATGAGTAGATTTTTGTTGATGGACATAATTCAGTCCATCTAAATGTCAATATTTTTTTTTAGCTCTTTTTAGTTGCGTATGTTCTTTAGTGTAACCTATGATGGTCAATTTGAGAATTTATCAGCAGTCAGGTAAAAGTAAGGGAAGTCTGTTGTTGGCTGCGGCTGCAGCTGTGACAGCAGCACAACGAGCAGAAATCAAAGTATATCTTTTTAAATTAATGATCACAAAACAAATAGAATTAATCACCCTTGTTTGACGTTACATTGAAGTCTGCTGTAGGTTTAATCTTGGGGTTAAGGCCAATATTAGGTCAATAAACATTTTTTAGGTGACAGTTTTGCAAGCCTATCCATGAAAGCTCATGAAAGCATACAAGAGTCAAGTGGTTACTATTTTGGCCGGGTGAGTAAATGTGCTTGTGTCAAACTGTCTTTTATATTTCAGTTCTGAACATGGATGCATCACTGCCAGGCTAATGTTAGTTGCTAATATTAGCTACCTTTAGCTCCTATTTTCTATCTACTAGGTCAACCGTTTCCAGACTGGACAGTGCACCCATGTATGACGTCATATGCAAAGAAGTTATTGTTGTGTGCGCTCTAAGTTGCTAGCTAAACTAGCTTTTAAAGACGTCCAGCTGGTCCTTCAGGAGGAGAACATACAGCAGAATTTGATCTATTAAAAATACAGTGGAGAGCACACAGAGTCTCTGTGAATGACTTACTAATTCATACTCCGTTTCTCCTGGGAACAGTAAGTCACCGTGGACCAAGGCAGCCATCACAATACCCAATGACCACATATCAATGGCCTTAGAGAATGGAAGGCCCAAAATAATTTTTGGAGCTCTGAATGTGGAAGAAAAGCATCACAGTGTCATATTTCAAGGATTTACAGCACATGGAGGGAACATCTTTTAAACTAAATCAACAGTAAGTATGGGCATGAAGCTACTTTCTTTTGGTGAAAGTGATAAACTACAAACTCACTCCAGTATGACAGTAATCATCAGTGAGCTTATAGACCTTACCTGAAGAAAGTAATTTGTAGACTTTGGCCAGGCATGGCTTTAGACGTTGGTATTGCCAAGCCAAAGTCTTTGAGCTTGACTCTGAAGGGTCATGTCTGGTGATCCACCAGCATGATGTTGTCCAGTTTGATATCTGTGTGGATCACTCCGATGCCTTTCAGTGCCTTGAGCGCTTTGGCCAGCTGCAATCACAAGGTCAGAGATACAGTTCGGAGAACGCACCACAGTTTAAAGTGTTCAGGGCGGTGCTGTTGATTGGACAGGGCTGTGTTCGTACCTGTGGGATGATGGTGCTGACGTCACTCAAACGCATCGGGGCACCGTTGGTCTTCCACATGTAGTCGTACAAGCTGATGTCTAACATCTCAAAAACTAGTGCCCTTCCATGGCTCGTGTTGAGGCAGCAAAAGAACTTGATGATATTTTGCTGATCCAAGTTGAGTCGCTTCAACCTTTTTAACATGGAAATCTGGAGACAGGACGAATGTTATGGTGACAGTTAATGTGTTTACATGTTTAAAAGTCAGAGGAAATTGTGTTGGAGATTTATGGGACAATATTTAAACTAAACTTAATAATCCTTTGCTCTTTACTACACAGAACTGGCTAAATACAAAATGTGCCATATATATACGTATATACATGTACCACCATATATACAATCTCTGTTTCACAGCTGTGAACGTCAAAATCAACAAAGTGTCTTACCTCCCCAGGGAGACATTCTGAATATTTGGGTATCTTCACAGCTACGGTTTGTTTGGTGTCCTTTTTCCAACATTTCAACACCGTCCAGTAGCCGCCCTCCCCCAGAACCTTTAGGGATGTGTAGTTGCTGGGGAGCTTGAAGGCGTCATAGCTGGGGAGTGGTGATGTGTCAGATTTACTGTCTGCCATTTTGTTTTCTCACCATCAGCCTCTGAGACACTGAGGCCTGCAGACAGTATAAAGTGATCATACCTGTGCCACCTCTGACAGCCATCTCAAAGCATTTGTTGTTTTCGTTTTTAACTAAGCACGTTAGCAGTTAGCTTTCCTTGCCTTATGTGTGGACATATGGAGTGTGTAGATTAGACACACAGTGAAGTGGCTGTATGTGGGTAAAGACAGAGACATGAAGACATCAGCCCCTGACCACTGGGGTCACTGTGGCTTCTTGAGACTTCTCTTTTTGATTCAAAGCATCTTGAGTCAGTCTCGTGTCAACTGACTGATATTTTCATGTGAGAAGCTCAGCAGTTATAACAGGTTTATGTTCCAGGGAACCAGAGACCACCTGATGACAACACTGTGAGCTGGAAATATAAA